AACACTGGCGATTTTAGTTCACCCTCAGGCTTTCCTGAACATGATGTCTCTGCCAACACACATGCTGTCAATGCAGCATTTTGAATGTACAGTATATTGATATACGTTGGCAGCAGCTGCTGTACAGTCCATGTCAGTTTTTAGCCTGCTTGATTAAAGTTCATGACAGACAGATGTCCTCGGCCCTCTGATGTGTTGACAACACAAACGTGTTTACTTCTCAATCTCATGTGGCCATTTAGATTCAATCTGCTGTGTATGTCAGCCATTATCCATGTCATCTTCCGTGCATTCACATGGATTATGATTCTTGGTGATGGTGCTCATATAAAATACATTATAAGTATCCCCAGTAGAGCTGCAGGGCACCTCCATGTTTAGCATGAACAGAAACCTGAGAGCCAGAGTGACACTGTGTCCCAAAGCCAGGACTTCCATTGCTGCCATACCGAAGCCACAGCATGGTCAGCATTCCACCTCGAACCATCCTTTTTGTGCACACACGCACATGCATGTACTCACTGTACTCCTGTCTCCTCATCTGACATCTAAGTACCTCTTACATACTACAAGTTCAAAACCGTGCAGTTACCACCGTTGAGAAAAGTCCTGAACAGCTTACATCTCTTGACTCCTGGTATTGGCAGGAATAGATGCAGTTAATAGACAGAGGGGGAGTCTAAGGTCCTCATGATAGTATTAAGTGTTATTTTATTTGTCCTGAAAGAAATATAGTGTTGAACCGGATTATTTTAATCATCTTCGTCATCAGTGACATATAATTTTGTGTGAATGAGTCTCCAAAGTAGCCATAGTAACTCAGCCCATTTTTGTTACCCCAGAGACATTATATTAAAAGGTGCTTCCCAGGTTTCAGCACTCTCACGCTCCAGCTTATGTAAATGTGTTACCTAGTGATAGGACATGCTACTTAGGTCGTGGCATTCCCTTACCAGGGCGAGCAATGATGTGCATCCTACGCTATTCTAAGATCTCAGGAAGAGTAGCAGATATCAGTCATGCATTAAGCGGTTCGTTATGTCATCAATGTTTCTTTGATTTATTCAAACCAGAACAGATGCCATGTCCAGCATGATCAGAGGTCACCACCTACAGTGGTATGAAAAAGTTTGGGCACCCCTGATCATTTTCAAAATTTTCCTTTATGGATCATTGGTTGTTCGGAAAAGCAATTTCAATTAAATATATCATATAGCAAACACAGTGATATTTAAGAAGTGAAATGAAGTTTATAGGATTTACAGAAAGTGTGCAATAATTACTTAAACAAAAGTAGGCAGGTGCAT